GGAGAACTGTGCTGCCAACCCAAAGGCTTGCAGCTTGAATGTACCAGCAGCTCTGCAGGAGAAGCATGGTCCCTCGCCTCCCGTGCGATTTACTGTCTCTGAAAACCCACTAGAGGGTCAACTATGATTTGGCTCTGACACGCTGGCATGAGACAACAAAAGCATTTACTTAGTAAATGCTTCTTTGCATTCAAACACGAGCCCCACAGCAGTAGAGAAAGGAAACTCTTATCCATTCTGGACTTGATTGCTGCTGTTGTTACGTGGCGTTGAGCCACCTGCGATTCATAGCGACCCTATGTACAACAGCCCTAAATCCTGCTCTATCCTGTGCCGATCTCACTGTCTCTGACACACCCATCCCGATTACCCCAGTCATTGAATCAGTCCATCTCATCAAGGGCCTTTCTCTCCTGCATTATCCCTCCATGCTTCCAAGCATGATGTCCCTCTCCAAGGACTGGTTCCTCCTTGTAACATGTCCAAAGTATTTCAGACGAAGCTTTAGAATCCTTGCTTCCAAGGAGCAGCCTGGTTTAACCCTCTCCAGGACAAATCTGTTTGTTTTCTTAGCAGTCCATAGTACATTCAATACTCATCTCTAACACCCCAGCTCAAAGGCATCATCAATTCTCCTTTTATCATCCATAGTCATTGTCCACCTCTCTGATGCATAGCAAATAATGGCAAAGGCCATGGCCTGTATCAGGTGCACCTTAGTCTCCAGAGTTACACCACTGCTCTTCAGTATGTTGGAGAGGTCCCTAACAGCAGACTTTCCCATGGTAATGAACCTTTTAATTTCCTGGCTGCTGGTGCCAAGAGTGTTGACTGTTGAGCCAAGCAAACTAAAGCTGTGAACAATCTCAATCTCTTCACTTCCATCCTGATGCTGCCAATTGGCTCAGTGGTGAGAATCTGTCTTCTTGACATTGAGCCTCAATCCATATTGAAGGCTGCAGTCCTTGACATTCTGCAGCAAGCACTTCAGGTCCTCTTCAGTTTCAGCAAGCAGGACTGGGTCATCTGCATAACGCAGATTGTTGATGAATCTTCCTCTAATCCTGACACTACACTTATACAGGCCAGCCTCCCGGATGATCTGTTCTGCATATACGTAGAAAAGGTATGGAGACTGATTGTACTTTAGCATGTAAAAGTGCCTGGAAAGTAGGAGGCGCTCGAAAGTATTTTAATAAATGTTTAAAGAACGAGCTGGGAGGGTGCTTAGAGGTTAGTCAAGTCTGTCACCATGGCAGAAACTTCCTCCTGTGATTGTCCCAACAGATGGTCAGTTATTTCTAACACTCAGGAAGGCCTTTAAACCTTCAAGATGGAGATTCCACTATTCACAGAGCAGCTCGTTCCATTCCATTTCCTCTAGAACGTTTCACCGCAATAGTAAGAACTCTCTTCCTCTAACTTTTAATGGTGGCTCTCCACGTCTCTTGCCATCCTCCCTAGTTTGCCTTACCTCATCGCCTGGTGGGGAGACAGATCTCCAGCCAGTGTAGGCCTGTATGTCTTCACTCACTACTGACGACCTCAAAAGATCTCGAGGCAATCTGAATTTGTAAAAAAATTAAATCATTCACCATGTGGTGAATTTGTTTAAACCTGAAATGACAGAAGAAGATAGTACCCCTCAAACTCAACTCTCCAATGAATTTGGATAAATGAAGTTTAGGATCCTGCCTGCCTTGAGCAGCATCATAAATGATTCTCTCTGATCCTCCATGAAATTAGAATCTTCAGAGCATTGGCCTCACCTCCGGGAACAGCATGTCCTGCCCTCTGGGTGTGGGTATGCCCAGGGGCCTTGGGGAGCTACCTGGAACCTATGACCTCTTGCCCTGGCTCGGGAGACTCTGTATGTGCTGAGGGGCCATGCTCTGCAGAAATATGCTCAAGGAGTGGCCTAAATAAACAAAGCAAATCAAACCAAACCAACCAAACAAATAAAAAAACACCCCCCCAAGAAAGATGATGCCTCAAAGGTCAGCTCCATTATTTTTGCACTAAATACTTTTTTCTTGGAACTGCCAGGAAGCTTTATGTTCTGCCTCTGCAGCTTAGGTGACAGTGAAGACAGTTCAGTGGTGGACAAAAACACCTCTCTACACACCAAAAATCACACTTTGCCACAGCCTTTAGAGGACGGAGGGGAAAGCCTTGAGTGAAGATCGGGGCTTCCTCTGACGCTCTCTCCTCATCTGGTCTCTCCAGGGATCAGTCTCTATCCTTTTGGTTTAAATGAACCTGCTTTTGCCTTTCAAAGGAATCTATGCAGGAAATGTTTCTGCCAAGTCCTGAGTCCTGTGACACTCAAGAACGAGGGCCAGGCTCTTGTGTAGGTTAAGAAAGTCCATGAAGAATAAAGATTATAGGCAAACAGTCTACCTTTCTTTACAAGGCCTTGTTTTACATCCCTGAAATCTCAGATTTAGCTATTACAATGAAGTCCTGTTGTAGAGAGAGCTGGCCTTTTATCACCACTTAAAATCTAATTAATCCATATTAAAGCACAAAGATTTCTGTTGTGTTTTAGGGTGAGGGGTCATAGAGCCCTCTTTGTTCATCCTTAGACTTATAACCATCAAGCATTGGGGATATAGTTTTACCAAGCAAATTGGAAGGTAACAGATCAAATCCTTATCAGAAAGCCTAACTCATAGTTTTAACAGAATCCTTCGTCCTTTACATGAAACACTATATTCACGAGGAACAAAAACACATTTCAGAGTGTCCAAAGAGTTAACGGTCAAAGCTTATATTCCAGCAGCATAGGACCAAGGTCGTCACACAAAGACAGATGCAAGCGAGGCAACTCATATAGAGGTGGCAAAAGGCTTACAGCATCGTTACAATGGCTTCAGTCTTTAGATTAGCAACGCAACTGGTTGGACTTACATTATCTTTCCTGGGATGGATTTTATCGATTATTACAACTTATTTACCACACTGGAAAAACCTCAATCTAGAGTTAAATGAGATGGAATACTGGACCATGGGACTCTGGCAAACCTGTGTCGTCCAAGAGGAAGTGGGGCGGCAATGCAAGGACTTTGACTCTTTCCTGGCTTTGCCCGCTGAACTCAGGATCTCCAGGATTTTGATGTTTGTGTCTAATGGGCTGGGGTTCCTGGGCCTGCTGGTCTCTGGCTTTGGCCTGGACTGCCTGAGGATTGGAGAGACACAGCAAGGTCTCAAGAAGCGACTGCTGATCCTGGGAGGACTCCTGCTCTGGGCCTCGGGGCTCACAGCCCTCATTCCAGTCTCCTGGGTTGCCCACGTCACGGTTCAGGAGTTTTGGGATGAGACTGTTCCTGAGATTGTTCCCAGATGGGAGTTTGGGGAAGCCCTCTTTATTGGCTGGTTTGCTGGTTTTTCTCTTGTACTAGGAGGGTCTCTGCTGAACTGTGCAGCCTGCTCAGGCCAAGCCCCTCCAGCTTCAGGCCACTATGCAGTGGCAGAAATACAAGCACGGTGTCCATACCTGGAAAATGGAACGCCTGATCCTAAAGTATAAGACTTGGGCACAGCCAGGGATGTAGCTTGACTCTGTTGTGAGGCAAAACATCTTGATTACAAAGCTAAAATCTATTGTTACATTTTTATTCAAAAGCTACTTTTCTTGGACTGCACTATCCTTTCCCTCCTTATACATAGAGAAATATCAGGGGGAAAAGGTTTTATATTTTTAAGAAAACTATATAGCAAGCATTACATAGGTATGAGAAAAAGCTTTCCTTATTTTCAAAAATCAAAATACTGTGGTGGTCTTCCCATATACACAGGCTTGTTTTTCATGTGCTTTTTTTATCAGAAAGCATTTTGTATGTTTTGTTGGCAGCTGGAAATTATGAGTTTTCCGAACAGTGAGCTACCCCCAGCCTGCCTGGCACCTCGTCACTGCTATGCCAGTCCCAAAGTGTTATTTCCATGTCATTGGAGAGAGGTCATATTTAGGAATCACCCGGCACCTTTTGTGACAAGATATTATGGGAATGGAGATTTCAAGCATAGTGTAATACTTTAAGAATACTGGCCAATCTGACGGCTCAATGTTTTCCATCAGTCGTTTCTTGCATAGGAAAACAACCCCAAAAAATGTTATTTTTTTTATATCCACATACTGACAGCTCATTTTCCCTGTTGGAAATTTTCTTTCCTTCAATTATAAATTACAAACATGGGAAAGTACACTTTGGAGGTGAGTAGAGATGTTGATGCTCAATTTCCCCACAGCATAAAAAGTGTATTTAAGCAAAGCCAAAAAGAAATTAAATAAAAAGTGTTATACACACATGCATGAATATGACAAAGGCACACAGATAAAGAGATTTGCTGCTGTTCAATGATTGTCTTGTGTATTACGTCCTATCTGTAGCCTAAGGGACTTTAAATTTTGTGAAGTAGGCTTGGAGAGATTTCGGGTAAGATTTATTTGTTTGGTTAAGAAATATTTCTCTTGAAATAATTTTTCAAAAGGGATAGCCCTCGGTATTAACACAACATACGTCCTGACACATGAGAACCGAAGCAGGGAAAACTTGGCAGGTGCAGCAAGTTAAGATACAAAGCAGGCGCTGAACCAAAACGGACCAAATATTTTGAATTTAAACTTAATCCTTTTGATTTGTTAGAAAGGTTGGAATCTACACAAAAGTCACTTATACTTTAACAATGAAAGGAGGATTAACATGACTTCATTTTATTTCTGTGACAAACTACTTTCCACAAAATTCAGCCCACAGGACACAAACATGATCTTGGCCACACCTCGGCATTACTGGTTTGCACCATAATTTCCCTATCCTTTTCTGAAACCTATTCAACATGGAATCAAACAATAGCAACTCTGGCAAGAATCCTCCTGTATACACAATGAAAAAAAAATATATTTCTGAGCTCTGCAAGTGATAATTCAAGTGTCGCAGTTCTTTTCACAGCTGCTGGAGGACAGGCATTAGCTTGGCTACAGCTCACAGGACTCTACGATGCCCCTAGTATTCAGAACTGTGGCACAATTAGCTGGGATTTCATTATCTTTGCTAGGATGGGTTTTATCCTGTCTTGCCAACTATCTGCCAAATTGGAAAAACCTCAATCTAGAGTTAAATGAGATGGAAAACTGGACCATGGGACTCTGGCAAACCTGTGTCGTCCAAGAGGAAGGTGGGATGCAATGCAAGGACTTTGACTCTTTCCTGGCTTTGCCCGCTGAACTCAGGATCTCCAGGATTTTGATGTTTGTGTCTAATGGGCTGGGGTTCCTGGGCCTGCTGGTCTCTGGCTTTGGCCTGGACTGCCTGAGGATTGGAGAGACACAGCAAGGTCTCAAGAAGCGACTGCTGATCCTGGGAGGACTCCTGCTCTGGGCCTCGGGGCTCACAGCCCTCATTCCAGTCTCCTGGGTTGCCCACGTCACGGTTCAGGAGTTTTGGGATGAGACTGTTCCTGAGATTGTTCCCAGATGGGAGTTTGGGGAAGCCCTCTTTGTTGGTTGGTTTGCTGGCTTTTTCCTGGTCCTGGGAGGGTCTCTGCTGAACTGCACAGCCTGCTCAGGCCAAGCCACTCCAGCTTCAGGCCACTATGCAGCTGCAATCACGCAAGATCACTGTCAACAACTAGAGATGAAGACTACCAGCCTGCACATCTAAGCCAGAGGCTATCAGTGGCCTCTCCAGCTCCCAAGAGACTTGCCTGACTCTGGATTTGGTAGGAGTTCTGCTAACAGTCATTCGTTATCTATGCTCTCAATTTCGTAAAATATACTTTCTGTAACAATTCGGTTCTTAGATGGTAATTTCTTTTGAAGACCAGTAAACCACTTTTTATCTCCTATTTTTGAAGCCAAAACCAATCAAGTTTTAATGGTAATCATAGTTATTACTGTCAATTAGTTTCCTCAATTTTAAAATAGGTTCAGTGATTGCAAAGAAATGGTAAATAAAACATCATATTAGTACTTATGTATTTTTTTAAAATGATATTTATAGAGAGATGAATCATGTTGGCAGTTGAGAATGTTACTGCTAATTATTTACTTCTTTCAAGTACTTGAGATAACCTATTATAATGAAAATGAAATCTCACTGAATATTCAAAATGCCTAACATCTGATTATATATATTTATTAAATATACAGAACAGAACAAAACCAATCAAAGTGCCAGCTCTTGAAAAGTCTGGAAAGTAAAAGACATGGGACTTATCATCTGCCTTTTAATCAAAGATCTCAGGGTCTATATGAAGCCCTTTATGAAAATCAGCCACATTCATTCATGGCAGAAGCAAACTTGTGGAGTTTTTAGGGTTTTTCCCCCCACCAAGATTCTGTAAAATCTGCCACAAAAATGTGGCTTTCCTTCTATGTCCTGTGCTTTGCATCTGATGGTCAATGCTGCTGGACCTGTGTGGGGGCAGAGGGCTGTGTGTGGGCAGCTGCCGGGTGGCTCTGAGCATGCTAACAGCTGTGCCATGAAGAGTATACTGGGGCACCTTTCATTTGACTTGTACAATGAAAATACCCTACCTCTCCCTTTTGTAAATCAGCAACATATTATCATCCTGCCAAGAGCTATTCTCAACCAGCTGCTGGCTTGTGGGATACTTTAGGAAAGATTTTCTATTTGCTCAGTAGATGGTTAAAGTAAACACTTGTGCTTGCGCCAATCAGGGAAAGCGACTCAACACACATGACAGTGAAGAAAGATTAGGCAATAGGTGTCTTTGTTTAACCAAAAACCCACCAAACTTTTCCCACCCACAAACACACGAAAAGTGCAGAAGCCAAAGTTAATCTATATGATGTATTTGCATACTTTTACAAATAAGACAAATTAAAACAGAAACATGTTCAGAATTTAACCTGATTAAATATTTAGTTCAGTCCTGAGCTTTTGATATTTAATACAATATAGATACAGCAATAGCAAAAAAAAAAGGAGAAATTCTAAATTTATTTGATTTGCATGCTACAGAATTTCAGCTAAACTTTGTTCATTTGACTAGCAATGTTCTTTTTGTACCTGCAACATGTAGATTCTGATATACAAAATTGAAATCATATACTGGTAATTCAAAGTTGAGAACTAAATATTACATTCTTATTACCCGGTGCAGAATAAATTCTACCTTTAAAAACAGTATTTATAATATTAAAATTTATATTTATTCATATGGTTTTGTGATCAAGTTATTAAAATGTATTTTCACTGTGAATCATTTGGGTTAGTACAAATACGATAAGAGTGTTAAAAGCTGCCTATAATACATAACACTATAGCTGATTTTTAAAATTGTGGACAAAGAGTATATTAAAATAAGCTTATCTCCTGTTAGAAATGAGCAAATTTTGCAAAATGACCAAAAGACAAACCTAGAGAATCTTGGTCCCAACTATTCCTGACCAGCCTGAGACAGACTTTATTCTTTAACACTTGTCAGAAACTTTTTGTATTATAAAAAGTTAACAGCTAATCTCATGAAGATATATAAAGCTGTAGATGTTCCAATATAGCTTCTTCTATGTCAAACATTTTAAATGGCCAGAACCAAACTATATATTAAACAGAACATAAATAAGACCGTAAATAAATAAATGAAGAAAATAAAATCGTACGGCACAACTACACATAACTCTATAAACATTTTCATGGCCAAACTAAGATGCTGACATAGCTGACTTCATTTAACTCTATATTAAATAAACTTCAAAACGTCTTTCTTTCACATTTGACCTTGACAAGGATGAATGGTATTTTCTCTGTAGTCTTCTTTAGTCACCTAAAAGAATGATCTGGTCAGCCTTGTGGGACTGTACTCAGTCAATTCCCTAGGGTAGTTTCTGTTCAAAGCATTGTCATATCCAGTTCACTTTTCAGAGGCATACGTGTTTATCTGGTGGGACAATTGGGGAAAAAAACATGCTCCATCATCTTCATTAATTAAAGTTCTATGCTGAGAAACTCCTTGATTTGATTTTGATTCTGATAAAAATGTACTTCCCCAAATAGAAGCTATTATTTTCAAGAAAACAAAAATCATGCAGGTGAGAATTCTTTCTCACCTAAGCAAAACCATTAGGTGGCTCATCTTTGAAAGAGGACTTTTGCATTTCTAAATTTTTTTTAAAAATTGGTTTAGTATAGAAGATGACTAACCAAAACTGCTTCTTCAGCACAAGAGACTGAGTAACAAGTGATCTTTAAATGGCGCAAGTATTTCTTTTTAAAGCTTTTATGCCAGCAGAATTATACTAGGGTTTTACTTTTTTGAAGCACTTGAAGATAAGCTAAAGTTCTAAACTGTAGAACATTTTGCCAATTTTCATCTCTAATTAATGTCAACACTTTTTCTTTTGTTTTGGATTACTGAGCTCATATCTCAAATTAATAATCCCACTCACACTTTTCCCTTTCCTCCCAACTCTTTAACCTAAAATATGGATTGAATCCCCTAAAATGTGAACTGCAAAGTAATTTTTAGTAAATGCTTAAGTCAGTTTGATAAAGCTGGCTTTATTTTCTTTGGGGGGCGGGGCGGGGGGCTTTTGATTCAACCAAGATTCCTTTGTGTCTGTTCTTGGTTTCACCAAGAGCGCTGGTGCGTTCTCTGCCACACGGCCAGGACTCCCATGCTGTGGCCACCGATGCAGCGCCCCCTCCAGGCACCACCTCACAGTCAGGACACAGCATGACTGGCACAGGCTGGCGACACCGCAAATTCAAGACTGCAAATTCAAGACGGGTCTGAATCAGCACCTGCTAGTGTGATGATGTCAGTGTATTTTAGGGTGACCACTTTCCTCCTCTGATCCCCACCCCTTAGCCTCAATGTAACAAGTCACAAGATCGCTCCTGTTGTCAGGAGGACTACTCCTTTGTACTTTTTTTTATTTGTGCACTCAGTATTTCATGTTTTTGCTTTTTTTAGACAAATACAAAAGGACAAAGACGAAACTGTTCTAAGGAAACAAAGTGAAAAGATCACGGCCCATTTCAGGTGGACTTGGAATTCTAAAATGAAGCTTATCTTCGTGCTTAACTTCAAACTGAAAGAGCTACAGCCCAGTACAAAACCACCACATGGCCCTGCTGCCATCTTCACAGTCGACTCCCAGAAGACAAAGAAAAAGCAAAAGCCACTTTGTGCTGAACAAGTCACTCCTCGGCGGTCAGCTCCATGGGACTCGCCCCAGCACTGCCTCCACTGCATTTTCATATAATAAAGCCCAGACTGTACAACGCTTGTGTACCAGATTATTCTATTTTGGTTATTTGGATTTTTTTTTTAAATGTAAAAATTACATTCATGGTATTTTACAAACTAATATGTTGAAAATCTGATGTGAAATAAAAAGCTCTTTAAGAGTTGACAGTTAAGTTACAAACAAAACAAAAGAAAACAAATGGTCACTTTTTCACCCTCCCTAAGGAAGTGAGTGGGTAAAAAAAAAAAAATTTCTTAAACGATGTAATTATACATCATCAGCTGGCAAGGATGGGATGCTTATCTTTGCTCTGGTGAAGTAAGCAATCTTCTCCCTAGAGTTAGGAGTGAAAGAGAAATCAACCTTAATATTATGTTGGAAATAGTGTATGGCCATTAGAATCCACCCCCTGCTCATCACCAATGTGTGAATTCTAACTTGTAGGGACCTAACAGACAGAAGAGAACTTACTTTAGAGTTTCCAACACTAAATCTTTACAGAAGTAGATTGTTTCAACTTTCTCCTGAGAAATAGCTGGTGGATTTGAACCCTCTACCCTCTACCTTTTGGTTATTAGCTGAATGGTTCATCCACCACACCACCAGGGATCCTCTGTCATTGTAAGAAATCTCACTGACCAAAGTGTCAAAGGGCAAAGCTGTCAGTTTAAAGACTAAAGTGTGCCTGATTTGAGCCAAGGTCTTTCCAATGACTTCCTACGCATCTGAAAGTTGAACAATGAATATGGATGAGAGAATAATTGATGCCTCTGAGTTATTATGTTAAGATTATCAATTTTTTCATGGGCTACCAAAAGAACAAACAAGCCTGCCTTGGAGAACTGCAACCAGGGTGCTCCTTAGAATCAATGATGGTGAAGTTTTGCCTCACATATTTTGGGCATGTTGACAGAAAGATGACTGGTCCTTAGAAAAAGAACTGGTCCATGCTGGAAAATGTGGAGGGTTAGAGAAAGAGAAGATGACCTTCAGCAAAAGGGACTACCCAGTGACTGTCAAAACAATCGGTTTGAGTATATCAGAGATCATAAGGGTGGTGCTGGGTATGGCAAGGTTCTTATCTGTTGTTCATAGTTTGTATATAAATAATGTCCTATCATCTACTATATTGTTGGCACAGTAGCAAGAAGCTATGTTGCAATCATGAAGGCACATGGTTCGAGCCCCCAAGCTGCTCCATGGAAGACGGATTGGGAATCTCCTTCCGTGCAATTTAACTGTCTCAGAAAACCTGCCAGAGGTTTAGATTGGGTCAGTTCTGACTGTGTTTGATGGTATACAACACCTCCATAACATTGTACTTTAGGATAGATCTTGGAATTGTCATTACAGTATGATTGCAACACCATTCTTCCCTAGTTTTTCATCCCTGGCAGAGTAGATCATACTACTGTCCGAGTCAAAATGGCCCATGCCAATCCACTA